CACACTCCTCCCTGCCTTCTCAGCACGCTGCCGGTACCAGGGGCCACCTGGCAGCAGAAGGACATGTGGGCCCGTGACCCTTGCCCCACCACAGAGAGGTCAAGCAGCCTGGTGGAAGGTGCGGCTCAGGCCACCTGCCAACAAGTTTTCTCCACGAACAGTGACAAAAATGCCTGATGTGGACTTATCTTTTCACAGTTCATCCGAGCCCTAAACTACCCCTTGAGGTCACCAGGGCCTGAATTATTATCCCCATTTGATAGAAAACCGAGCTAGTGAGGGGAGGTCATCTCCAAGTGCCCCCATGAACTTGAAGGCTGGCAGGGCTGGTTGTCTGTCTCAGGTGTGTCACCTCTCCTGTCCAGTCCTGCCCTCCAAGACTGGGGATGGGGCCAGCCAGGGGAGGGGGAGCGGGAAGCTCTGTGCAGCCAGAGTTCAGCTCTTGGGCCTCAGAGAGCACAGCCTTCTTGCTGGATTTCTGGAGCACAGCAAAAGGCCCCACCCAGCACCTTAGGGCTGGGTGGGGCAGGGAGGGTGGTGGGGAGCTGCTGGGGACTTGAGAGGAGCTGTGGCAGGCTCCAGCCTGGGGAGAGGGGGCGAGAGGTTCTGGGGCCATCTGAGGGTGGCTGCATGCCCTGGCTGTGCCCTTGATCCCCCAAACCCACTTAAAGGATGAGACAGCTCACTCCATGCTGGGAGCGAGACAGAACTGATGCAGGGGAATAATTCATAGTCACACTCTCATCAGAGGGCAACGGATGACAGAAATGCTGTCTTCCTGTCTTTCCAGGGGCATATGGAGAGAGAGGGAGTAGGGTCACGTGGTCAGGATTGCACCAGAAATTGCATCACAGGGAATTATATCACAAGCCAAAGCTCACGCAGGGCACTCTCCTTTGCTGCTGGGGAGCCTGAGGACGAAAGGGTTCTGGGGAGACGGGGCAGCAAGAACCTGGAGCTCTGTTCCAAGATGACCAGGGGCAGGCGCCAGTGAGGAGGAGGGAAGCCTGGCCAGAGAGGGGCCAGGAAACCCCTACCACGAGTCTGTCCCTGGGAGAGGAGGGTGGGGCACCACCCACAAATGAAGGTGGCATGGATGCAGGCGCACCTGCCCACTGAGGGCTGAGGCTTTCAAGTTGTCTTTTCTAGTGAGAAAGGCTGCACCAAAGCATCCATCCTGCCAGCTCAGCCAAGTGGAGGGCAGTGAGAGTGAGTCAGTCAGTGGCCAGGGTTAGTGACACTCCCACCATTAAGCTCAGATGACCTCAAAGGAACCCCCTTTCTTGAGAAGGCTCTCAGTGACTTGAGCACTCCATCAGTCGCCTCCTGGCCTTCCCCAGGCATCCCTGCTCCCTCGGAGGTGCAGAGAGGCTCCTGGGAGGTGGCAGGGCAGAGACAGGCTCAGAGAGATGGGTGCAGGCTGCCTGAGGTCCCTTCTCTGCCAACCATCTCTGAAAAGCAGTGTTACCCGGGGGCCAACTCCTCTGCTGATCTTGGGGACCCTGCTTCCTTTCTCACGTTTCCTCAGGGGCAGGCAGGTAAAGTTCAGGCTTCCCCTTCTTAACTAGATTCTTCTGCAAGTAAATTAAGTTCTCAACACCCAGGCTGAATGAGTGGGATTTCCAGCTACCTGGAGGGGAGGCTGAGATGGAGCTGGCCAAGACTGTCAGGACCTGTCCCTGAGGTTTCATTGGGAACCTCCATCTGCAGAGAGCGTGCCTTTTTCCTCCCGCACTTGGCAGTCTCCTGAAGCAAGTGGCATCCTTGAGCCTGGTGGAGGCCTGTAAGACCAGAGCCTAACGGCGGAGACTCCTCTGGGACACTGCTGTGACACGGTGGACACTCTTCCCTCGCAGAACACTGCCAAGGAGACGTCCCTTTCCTGCCTGACCTGGGTGGAAAAGCCTGAGCTGAGCCCAGGGTGGAGCCAGAACCATGGAAACGTCTCCCCTCACATCCAGGGCAGGGAGGGCGGCAGGATAGGGAGATTAGAGAACCTGCTTCTGGACCAAAGTTCATATTCCTGGAAATGCCTGAACCGTGGCTCCTGAAAGCAATAGCCTTCCACTCCCAGAGGCTTTCTCCAGCCTGTCCCCAAATCTCCTGTCCCACGTACACAGCTCCAGGAAGAGGCTCTGAGACCAGCCTCCCGATGTTTGACAATCCCACCCTAAGGACTATAGGGCTGAACCTGGCACCCAAATAGCTCTCTGAGTCTATCTCGGCCCTCCTCCGTCCAGCCCTTAGGGAGGGGACTCGACCACTACCACAGAGGGCTCACGGAGGGGTCCAGAGCTCTTCCAGCCCAGTGGTCTCAGGGGAGGGATGCCTCTCCTCCCCCTGGACCTATCAGAGGCCGATGCCCTCATAGAGCCGCAGTGGCGTGGCAAGGCCAGGACGTCCTTCCTGGGAACCTGCCTTGGCAATGAGTCTATGGGGGGATACCAGTTCCCCTCCAAGTTCATTTCTCTGGATAACTTTCTAAGGATGCACCAACCTCCGGAGCTCACAAGGGCTGAGACAACTAATGTGTCTCTCTCATTCTCTACTGACTGTTTTTACAATGAATCCCTTACATAAATGTCAAGCTGACTTAGACTGACAGGTAGTGGCTCCCATCATGTTGTACCACGGTGGAAAGGATCCCAAGGTCACATCTGTGCTCACTGGGAAAAAGTGCTGTGCTTGATTTGCAATGTCTGTCATGGGTGAGGGACTGGACAGTGGCGGCATATATGCTGTGTTTTGCCTCCCTGGATATTGCATTGCAGACTTTTAGAAGCACTTTTACAAACGTCACCTCATTTGATGAGAACAATGCTGGTCTAGGAATTATGAAGATTACTATTTATTTGCAAAAGGAGACATCAGGAGTGTGGAAGTTAATGTGTCTTTTCCTAAATCACCCAAGTGAATTAGGGTCAGAGCCAGGATTAGATCCCAGATGTCCTGAGTCTGAGGCCAGGGCAGGGGAGCCACTTAGATCAGGGAATGCTGAAGATCAACACGCCAAAGTCTTCATGGGTCTTTGGGAAAAGGGTGCTTAGTAAATCTTCCCTAGGCTTGGAATTTGCTATTGTTTATGCATATGTGTGGGATGCTGGCAGGAGCAGAGCGTGTGGACAGAGGATGGGCTGCCCACACCAGAGCCCAACTGCCCCTCTGGGTGCCTGTAACTTTAACGATGGGCAGGCCTGGTTCCGACTTGCTCCAATTTCATCAGCATCAAATCAGCAAGGCACCCCGGGAAGAGAAAAGGGACCATTTCAGAAACATCTGTAGGGAGCCACTCTGGATAGCTATTCAGTTACCATGGAAACCCACCCTTAGAAACTGCTTCAATTTCAGGAAAATAGCTACAAACAATAATAAACATAAATGAAAAATGGTACACTGTAACTTCAAAATTGTACTCATTATTGGATTTTGTCAGGCTTTCGGGACCAAGACGGCAGGCTCACATCCGTGAGCACAGTGGAAGGCAGACATCTCTGCCTGGCTGTGGGCCTAATGACATAGCCCACATCCTCCCTCCCACGTCCCTAATCAAGTTTCTGGATGTGACCTCCGGAGAGGCATTTATCAGGGGAGCTAATGTCTGAATTGCAGGAGGAAGGAGGACGTGCCTCGCGAAAAGCAAACATTTGCTGAGCAGACTGGAAGGCAGCAGGGAGTCATGTGGAGGGGCACATGTGTGGTGGCTGCATGAGCCTTCTTCAACTGACGCTGAGCATTCACATGGGTCTGGGCTAGAAATCCTGTAAGAAATCAGGCAGTGGGAATAATAGCTGAGCTGGGAGTCTCTGTTCTAATCTGTTTTCAAGGCCTCTCAGAGTTGGAAACATCCTTAGAAAGATGACCTGGTCCAACTCCTCCCCCACGTGATGTTTCCATTCTCCTGGCAACATCCTCGCTAGCTGATTCCTGAGTTTGTGCTTAGACTATTCCAAGAGTTAGACTGTTTTTCCTGACACTGAGCGGAAATCTAGCTCCCTATAGCTTTTACTCATGAACAATCAGACCCCCTTTGGCAATGATAACCCGTTAGCCACCTGGAGTCATTCTCCTGGTCCTTCTGTGTTCTCCATGTGGCAGACGTCAGTGATACCCTTGTAGCCACTGCCCTCAAAGAGCCCTCAAAGGGGGATGTCTGAGGTGGGACCTGGACCCCAGCACGAGAAGACTGTGTCACTAACTGTTGGCTCCTAAATTATACTTCAAAAATCACTGTGCATATGCAGGCCTGTACACGTTCAGATCATTACACTTATCCTGTCCCCTGCTCTCTGACAGCAGCTAAAGAAGGCAGGGAAGAAACAGTTATCCCAGAGTCTACTACACCGCCTGTCACAGATGGTACTCAATAAATGTTTCCTGGACCAGAGAATGCCCACTCACAGAGAAGTAAAACTGGGGTTCCGAGAAGGTGGCTGACTTGTCCATGACCACCCAGGAAGAGAAGGGCAAGGCCAGGACAAGGGCACCAGCATCCTGCTCCCAGCCTCTGAACCTCCCAACGGAAGGTCACTGAGCCCTGGGCACCTGAGTCCTGAGCTCCACATCCTAGGATTGGTGATTGCTGGGGCCTCTCACCACCCCAGGGCATTCTCAATGTGAGCTCAAGTCAGGCCGGACGTGGCAGCCCACCCCAGAAAGAAGAGCATTTTGGTATCTGCCTCAAGCATCCAGGGCAAGGACCTGGTGAGCAACAATGAAAGCCCTTTGGGGCTAGACTGCCTTACAGAAATATACAGCAGAAAGGAAGTCACAGAGGATGTCAACCAACCTGCCTAGGTATTTCATCAATGCACGCGGGCTCTGACTGAAGGGGAAAGGCCTGCCTCTACAAGAAAGAGAGCTGTCTCTCCCAATAGAGCAGGGAGGAAACCATCTCCCCCTACACACCAGGGAACAGTGGCAGCAAGGCACCTGCAGGCAGGGGAGGGGGTGAGGCGGGAGCAGGGCCCTGAGGCCTTTCGCGGGGTGCGGGGCTGACTCACCAGGCTGTGCATGATGCGCACGCCATCGGGGTTCACCGTGAGTGCCTCCTTGTACAGCTGCTTGGCCTCCTCCAGGCTGCCCTTCATCTCTGCCAGCCGGCCGCGCATGTAGAGTACCGAGTGCGAGGTGGGGAAGAGGCCTGCTGCCTCCTGGATGCAGAAACCCGCCTCCTTGAGGTGCTGCTGCTCCATGAATAGCTCAGCTGCAAAACCAGAAGGGCGGTGGGAGGTGAGTGGTGGGACGAGTCAGAGGCAGCAGCCCGCTCCCCGCATCCGACCAGCAGCCCCCAGAGTTGAGGAACTGGTCTTAGGTGATGGAAGCCATCCCACCGAGTCACAGCACGGGACAGGCTCACTCTGGGGTCAATGGTAACACCAAGTAATGGTGTCTGAGTGCTCTCTGTGTCAGGCACCGTGCCATGTACACCACACAGACTGTCTCAGCCAACACTCTCAAAACCCTGCAGAACAAGCACTTTTAGGACCCCGCTTCAGGGAGGAGAAACTGGGGTACAGAGAGGGTAAGGAACTTGCCTAAGGACATAGGGAGGGTGAGGTATGGAGCCAGGGTTTGCATTGGGCTGTCTAACTTCAGAGCCTGGCAGTGGGGGCAGGAGTGGCGTCCCCTGAGCTAAGCGCTTTCCCAGTGTCCTTTCTCTTCACTTGTTCGCTCTGTGTCTGGGGTAGAGGGTGGGAGCAGATGTGGGAGGCTTTCCTCAAGGCTCTCAGTCTCCAGGGAAGGAGGCTGACTGCGAGTTAACGCCACCCGCATGGTCAGGACGATGGAGAGCCAAGTGGTCCTGCCAATGATGGGGTGGGAGGATGAGAAGAGGAGAGGCCCAGGAGCAGCTGCAAAGGGGCAGAGCTGGGGCTCACACCGAGGAGTGTGGGCAACAGCTACAAAACCACCCGTACTATTAAGAGCTGACGGTGGGCCAAGGCCCAACTGCATGAACCATCTCCTCTCATTGAATCCTGAAGACAAGTCTGGGAGAGAGGCAGGTGCTCTCCTGTGCTCCATGCTGACAAATCAGGATGAGAGAGTGGGGACCTCGCCCCAGCCCCTCCATGGGAAGGGGGCAGGCAGGGCTCCCCGCCTTCCTCCAAAGTCCAGGACTTCCCGCCGCCCGCACACACCTTTTGGCCAGCAGGCAGGAAAGGATCTGCCCCACAACTGGTTTGCCTTCTTCCCCTAGATCAGTGGACACTGGGTGGTTTCTCTGATCCCAGGCCAGCCCACATACACCCACATTTCAAACCCATGCTCTGCAGGTACACACCCACCCACAGCCGGCACTTTTAGAAAAGCGGCTGGGGGTGCAGCTCGGCCTCGCAGCCCACTCGGTCCTCCTCTCGTGCAGCCCTGGCGCAGCTGCACCTCCCCGCCCCCACCCCCGGGCTGGTGCCCATATGCAGACAGTAGCACAGAAGGGCAAACAGAGCCTTGCCTGTGACTCTGCCAAGAGCTGTTCCTAGCAAAGGCCCAGAGCTGAGGTCACACTAGTTCAGATTAGGTTTGGGGTGGGCTGGATAACAGACAGCCCAGAGGAAGCTCCTAGAAAGAGGTGGAAAAGCCAGGCCCAGGCATCCCATCTTCCTATTCAGACAAGGAGCAGGAAGGAGGCCTCATTAAGGCCTTGACGGTGGCATAAGCACTTGAGGTACTTAGCATGAATTGCCTAAGGTTCATTGTGCAATCAAAGTAGCTTGCCACATCCTAAAATACTACAGAGGCCTTTGGAGCAAGGCTACTCTTCTCTAGTGGAGAGGAGAATTTGGGAGAATCAGAGAATTAAACACAGAGAAGCCAGGCTCCCATGATAAGGCGACGGAGAGAAATGCAGGCTCTTGTCCCTGGAGACAGCCTGAACTGGAGATTTCCAGGACGGAAAGCACGGGAGGTGAGGCCAGAGAGGGCTGCCCAGTGGTCAGTGCTTTCGTGCTTCCGGCCTGGGCATTCCTCTGCTCTGCTGCTGTATTTCCTTCTGGAGCTGCGGCCTGGAGCTCCAAGCAGGCTGCCTTCATAACTGAGTGTAAAATGTGCAACTACTGAGTACTGACTGTGTGTCTGGCCCTCCTACCAGAAGGAGAAAGAGCAGAGGTGGGAGGGGTGGGGCAGCTAAGCCACCAAACCAGTGGAGTGACCCAGGGCAATGGAATGACAAGTGCCAACTCTGAGTGTTCTGGGCACTCAGAAGGGGCCAGGTCAGCTGTGCTGGTGTGGTCAAAGAAGTCTTCCTGGGGGAGGTGGCATTTGAGCTGGGGCATGAAGGCATGGGGGCACTTGGCCTAGCAGAGAGGTGGAGAAGGGAGGCTGTGCTGACCTGGAGGGCCAGGCTCCACCATGGCAGAACTCCCCAGGGTCACAAGAAGAGAGGGGAGAAGCAGAAGGAAGTGTGTGGTGTGAGTGATGGGGGTGGGGAGGCCTGGCCTGCACCAGCCCCCGTGGCTGCTTCCGCCATCGCCAGGAGCTCAGCTCAGAGGCTAGGCTGTCCACTCCCCTAGACCGTGGCCCAGCAGGCCTGGCCCACCTGCCCACCTGCCCACCTGGTCCTGGCCCAGCTCATTAAGCTGTTTACAACTTGCTGCCTGTCTCCCGAGCCCCATCTCTGGAGGCTGTCCCTGCTCCCTCCACTGGGGACTCCTCACAGTGCCTTCACATCAACAGATATCAATTACAGGGATCCCCACCTCCCTCTTTCCTTGGGGCCTGGGGCCTTGTTGGGGTGGTCATATGCCAGAGAACATGTCCTGAAAAATAGGGCCACTCCGCTCCGATGGACTTCATTACCAGTTAGGCAGGAAACCAGATGACATAGAACAGAGCCAGAGAATGAGGTCTCCAAGGGCTCCTGGCCGCCTGGCAGACAGCCCCTGGCAGGCCCAGCCTCCAGGGCGGGGCCTCTGACCTGCAGACAGGCCCACAGGTCTGGGGGCTGCAGAGCACCCCTTCTGCCTAGCGTCCGCATCCCTGGGCAGTTGTTTTACCAAACACGGTGCTCCGCAGACGGCCGCCTCGGCTGCAACAGGAGCCACATGGCACCATGCCCATCTGCTGCCCTGATCCTCTACCTCTAGCCCTGGCTGCCGGACCGGAGGTGCCCACACCCATCCCGGCCTCTCCTTGCCAGGGCCGGCCAGATGAGCACTGATGGCTACTAGCTTTTCCTTGAATTCCCATAGGCCTTGCTATCCCCTCAGCGTCGGGCCCCTCTCTGATCCCCTCGGTTCCTTCACTCTCTCTCCCTCCCTCGTGATTTTCCCACTTCTCCCAGCTTCCTCTCTGCCTACTTGACCTCCTCACTGCCTGTCTGTCTCGCTTTTCTTCCTCTTCCCTCCATCCCTCTCCACCCACCCCTCTCTGTGCTTTCTCCCACAGGCTCCAAATGGAAAACATCTGTTCCCTGGAGCTTTGCAACAGTCCCTTTTATTATTTTTTCTGAGGCATCCTGATCTAACCCTGCACCCAGAGCCCGTTCCAGTCTTCCTGCCAATGCCCAGCACCCCACCACACTGGGGGATGGACTCACTCTTCAGGGGCTATTTGCACACTCTCTGTGCAGGGAGGGCCTTGCCCTCGGCTGGTCCTGAGCTGAGGAGCAGGGTGAGGGAGGGCCCAGGGCCATGCCTAAGGCCTTTTAGGGGCCTCCCCAGGTGAGATGTGCTTCCTAGAGACCCTCAGTGAGACCTGAGAAAGGAGGGGAGCCAGCTGGGCTAAAAGGGCACAGGCCCCCCAGGGCAGGAGAGAAGTTAAGGTCATGCCCTAAACAGAATCCACCTTAGCTGGCTTTGAGTGCCAGAAGGGTCACCAAACTGCTTCCTAAAGGAAACAAGCATCCTGCCTGTGGAGCAGACCCTCCGGGCATATGGACACCCAGAACACAGGAGAAGGAAGGCTGGGGGAGGACGGGAGAGGAATGAGACACTGGGGGCCAGAAGGGAGAAAGACCAGGAGAGTAACAGGGAATCCAAAGGTCTAAACGGATTTTTAGGTTTGGTCTGAGACCCTCCACCCTGGGACCCTGAGAGGGGCCCAATTTGCCTCTGGCCACCAGGGGGTGGAGGCTCCGGGGCCTGGGCTCCCACTTCTTGTCCTGGAAGGAGTGCTCTCCTCACTATCTCAGGACACTGGGATGAGGGGATGCTGGACAGAGAGGAGCAAGGGAAGAGAGGACAGGGAAGAAGGCACAGAAGGCAGGAGGGAGAAGGGTGGGGAGTGGGGAAAAGAGGGGAACGGGAAGGAAGATGAGGAAAGGAATGAGGAGGAATGAGGGAAACAAAAGAATGAGGAGCGTGCAGGACCAAGGGTGAGACAGCTTCTCCCTCGACTATGATTTTATCATAAATATGACCTTTAGACACAGCTCTGGCTGCCCCACCCCACTCCCCAGTCTGCCCAGCCAACAGCTGGGGTGGCTCCCACTGAAGGGCCGCTGAATGAGCCAGGGCACCGGGTGAGACAGTGTCAGTCTGCCTCTTGGGAGCTGAGACTCAGGTCAACTGCCCCTGACCCATGAAAGCCCATGGCCCTTGGACCTCCAGGGCAGGGTGACTCTCCTGACATCCATCTCCCTCTCTCTAGCACACGGTTAGCTCCGAGACATGAGCTGCAGTGAGAGAGAAGGGTGGGCTGTCTCCTCTCCTGGAAAGCATCTCTTGACACTCAGGACCCTGGAGCATCTATGGGGCTGAGTGCCTCTCCCAACCTCACACAGACCCGCTGCCAAGAGGCAACATTCCCGAAACTCATCTCTCCAGCAGAAACCCTTGGTGAGGCTTCTCATATCAGACTGGAATGGGAAGGAAGTTTGGGGAGGGGAGGGGAGGAGGACAAGAGTTGGGAGAGGAAGGATACAACATTTCCCAACCTAAGAGTGGGTTCATGTTGGAAATTACTGCCATAACAGACTGGGATGCAATTTATCTTGAACCAAACCAGGGGGATTAGCTCATTCCAAAATGATAAAGGGGGATATTTTTCCTTCCTGCAAATTTGCCGCAGCTGGTGGAATCATTAGGTGGGATGGGTGGGTGGGGTTGCTGATGACAATACTCTTAGTCTGGGTCAAGTTGGGGGCAGGGGTAAGGGAGAAGTTATTGCTTGGTGATCTGCTGCTGGCAGCCCTTCACTCAATAACTAGGTACTCAGCACTTGTTTGCTGGTGGTGATGGTGGCCAGGAGGGGAGAGGGCTCACGGAGTACAGATTGCTCTATAATCCTCCCGTGCCCGGAATGAAGGACCTAGGACACCTTCTCACTTCCCTTTCTGGCTGTGGCAGCTATCCACCAGTCTAGCCCCACTTTCTTCTATAATGACAGATCCCCTGATTTTTAATAGGGCATTGGACACACAGAATCATGACATTTCCCAGAGTCCTTTGCAGTTAGGGGTGGTCACATGACTAAGTTCTAGCCAATGGATCCTGAGGAGGAGTGATGTGTGCAAATTCCAGGATATGTCCTTATAGGGAGGGGGTGTTCCCTTCTCCCACGCTTCCTAGTTATGCTTTGGAATGTGAACATGATGGAGACCCATCTTGGGTCACAGGGATGAGAGTGACACCCCAGGGAGAGCAGAGGCAACAAGATGGAAGGAACCTGGGTCCCTGGACCAGGAAAGCAGAAGTGTCACCCCAGTCCAGGCTGCTATCTCTGGAGTGTTACATGAGACGAATGAAGCGTGTACCTTGTAGAAGTCATTGCTATTCTCGATTGGTCACACACACCCAAACCTGTCTCCTAATGCCACATTGCCCAACCCTTAGCTGGCAGCACATTCAAAGCATTCGGATTCTGTTCTCAGAGTTCTCTGTGAGCGGAAAATCTAGGATAACGTCCAGAGAAGAAAGGGTGATGTGCAAATTACTGAAGGGTGTGTGTTTACACCACTATTCCCAAGTTGAATTACAGGCTTCAGGAAGGCCTTTAACTTTCCTTGGAGTTACCAGAACATACGAGCATCCCTAGCATAGGGTGGGATATCTGAGAAATGCAAGCACCTTGTGAAGCTCAAACACGTTTTCCTTTGCTGATGGTAGTAAACAAGGTATACCATTAAAACGAAAGGCCCCGGGAGCTCCAGAGCAGACCGCACACAAGTCTGGAATTTGATGCCCATGTTACTGACACAGTCCTTGAAGTTGGTTAAGGCCCCAGCGTGGGTGCAGCTTTCTAGCCCAGGCACACGTAGGGGCTGGGGCCCCAAGAGCCCCTCGGGAGCCAGTATGGCTCCACGCCTTGGAAGAAGACAGGGGAATCTTTGCCTAAGAGGAGGCCTTGTTTATTATTCCTCCGGATTTTTCAACATTCCTCTTCCTATTTAAGATGCAACAAGCTGACTGTGGAGCAGAGCCCCCACACATCCTTAGCATCCTAAGAGACCCTGATATGCTAACTGGGGCAATGTGTGCATTATTAAAATGCTTCCATGTCTAGCCTTTCTGTGAATCCTGGTCCAATTTTTTTTTTTTCCAGATTCAGAACCTATGGTGGGGAGAGTGGGGGCGTACTGCATACTAATGTGCCCATATGTGAAATCCACTCAGCGGGAAACCTTAGATTCCCAGTTAAGCACCATCTAACTCTGACTTGCAAAATCTGCATGTCCCAGGAACTGATTATCTCCTTTCAGTCTCTTCTCTATCTCCCCTGGGGGGCTAACGGCAACACCCCCTCGGGAGAGAAGGCAGATAAGAGGGTCATCAGAAAAAGGTGAGGAGCTTCTCTGGGCAGTTCTCCATCACGGGGCATGCTGGCCTGGAGCATTTTTAGGATCCTACCCATTCTATCGCCTTTCTCTCCCTTCTTCTCCTGCTGCCATTTTCTCTCATTCAAGCACATCATCCCATTGACTGCCCCTAATCCACCTCTCACACCACCATCATATTAAATTTTCAACTACCCCAGCAAGTCACTTCTTGGCTCTCCTTAGCCAAGCATTGAGGACACTCACTGTTGGTGGGGCCACGCTGCGTCTACCCCGACCACAACCACAGTGGACGGGACAGAGCTGAGCACCATTGACTGAGCACTTTCTATGCACCCCATACTGCACTAATGGCTTCACCCCCCTTACTCATGCTAGATCAGGATGGGCAGCAGTGAGCTGACCTTAGAACCCACCTCTAGGGGACTCTGAAGCTGCCTGCTCCCCAACATTAGCTCCCTCAAACTCCATGTGGCAATGGTGCCAATTACTATGAAGAGGGACTGTCACCTGAACAGCAACCTCAGTGTTACCAGCCTTCTGCCTTTCACGAACTCCCCCACCAGACCTCACTTTCCTGGGGGCCGCCATATCTCACCTCCCCTCTAACTAGTGCGTGAGCTCTCTGGGGTTTGAGTCCTAACTAGTTTTACTCAGGAGAAAATGAGCAAAAGAAGGAATGGGGCTTGTTGGTGAGACAGAGAAGACTATCCATCTGTATGGCCTTTCCTCAAATCCTCACATTTCTATTTGCTGCCAGAAAGCCTCTCGTAGGTGGTCAGGCGGGTGTTTTCCCTATTTGGCAGAGAAGGAAATCCACAGCCAGACAGATTAAGTGACTTTTTCCAGGCCTAGCAAAGAAGAAATAGCTTGAACTGGAGCTCTAGGTTCCTGATCCCCAAACCTTTCTGCAAGTACTATAGCCCATGTGAGCCTTGTCAGGGGTCTCCACAACCCCACACCTCCAAACTCTCTTCTCCAGGGCAGGACACAGCTCTGAGTCACTGGGGCTGGGGACACTCACCAGCCTGAAGCCAGATCTGTTCCAGCGTGGTCCACAGCTGCATGGGGCCCTGCTTCAGGACTGAGCTAGGCATGGTCAGCTCCGACATGGCCTCCTCCAGCCGGGATGCTGCGATGGATGATGCCCGCCGGGAGCCTGCAGAGCAGAAGGCAGAGGCTGAGCAGCAGAGACGGAGTACCACACGCGGCAGGCCCCAGGAGCAGAGACTGAGCAGCCCCACGGGGAGAGACAGGGCACGCTGAGTCAGGACAGGGTGGCTCGGTCGGGCAGATGCAAAAAGGTTCACAGATCTACTAGGAAGGGCCCGCCTCATACCTTCACCCATGGCCGGGGAGAGGAGCTTATGGAGGGGCAATCAGGCAGCAAGCCCACTTCTGGGGGTCTATCACTAAGGAAGACAATCATAAATGTCAGCAAAGGTGCTGGTTCTGCCACTGCCTGTAACACCGAGAACAGAAATGACCCGAATATCCAACAATAGGGAGTGATTAACCATCAGTGAGGGTACAGTCACACAAGACTAAGCCGCCATTAAAATAACGCGCAAATATAAATATCAACGTGGAAAGATGTTCCCATTACACAGTTACGTGAAAAAGAGCAGGTTGAAAAGGAGGATGATCACATTTTTATAAAAAAGAAATACTGGTGTGGAAACAAGTCTGGAAACTTGTATATTAAGGTCTAGGTGGTGAAATTATGGATGATTTTTCTTTGCTTCCTTTTGCTATTTTGACTTTGTTTTCATAAGTGCATATTATTGTTTCTTCTTTATATAGAAATGTCCCCTTTGAGGTTGTGCTGTGAAGGATCCTTGGGCAGCAGCTCAGGTCAGACCCTGTGCCCTCTGGAGACCATCTCCCCATGGCAGTTCTGGGTGACGCGGTGCCTGTTCAGGACACACCGGCCGTTGACATTCACATGCAGGTGAAATGCAGCACTTTCTCTCTGAGGCCATAAAGGCTCCAACAATCTCAGGAGACCTTGGGGCAAACCGCAGATGATTTCCATTTATAAGACGAGTGCACACGGAGCCCTAATAATTTGTTCATGGTTCTTCCCTCTTTAGTTATAAGTGCCCTCTGCTCTCCTTAACCAGGCCCTCCTGGGCGTCAGCAGCTCCACGTTCGGCCCAGTACTCCTCACAGGCACCTCTCCAGTCAGGTGCCAGGCTTGGCACTAGAAACCAACTCTGTCACTTGACAACGGAGGCATAGCTTGGTTCATGTCCACGGAAGTGGAAAAAGTGAGCAATGCCACTAAACACAACACCCTCACACTTTCATTCCCGTGACTAATTCTTCTTGTGTCTCTGAGGAAGGGATTCTGCTGTCATCAGGTCCTCTTTGAATCAGTCAGCTCTGGGCTTAGAGTTGTAAATATAAGCGCAGCTCATGCCTTTCTATTAGACTGATCCACTAAGGACATTATAATGCCAACACTGGCCTGGGGCTTTAGCCTAAGGGGAAACAGTTTCTGGGCTCCACAGCCCATATTTCCACCCCAGGCTCCCCTCTCTCTTCATGCTTCACCCCCCAGCCCCCGCCCCCGGGTTCAAGAGCGGGGGTTCCTCCCTTGCCTACCCCAGCTGCCCACTTCCTACTCCTGGGCCAGCAGCCATCCCACCCCAGAGCCAAGATGGGCCCTGAAAGACGCCCGAGGGCAGCTCCTTAGCTCCTTAGTACAAGGCCCTTGGGCAGCAGCCAGCAAGGAGCAGGGTGGGTTTGGCCGCTCTCCCCATTCACGTTCAGGCTGGGAGAGTGAGCTGTGGAGCCACGTGGCCAGCTGCCCAGGGGCACGCTCTTACCAGAGTCTGCATCATGGGCGTCGGGCAGAGTCAGGTGCATGCCACTCTGCTTCTTCAGTGTGAGGCCCTCGCCGAGGCTGCCATCCTTTTCCAGGCCTCTGGAAGGCAAGGGAGGGCCAGGCCCTGGTGAGGCGTGGGGGCTGGCAGGGAGAACAAGGGAGCCTCATGGCCGGCAGGCTCTGGGGCTGAGAGTCCAGGCCAGAGAACAGAGCCAAAGCCGGGACCACTGGGAAGGATGGAGACAACCAGAAAGGCAGGACAGATAAGAGCTCAGGCTTGGGATTCTAGAACCTGGCTTGCCCTAGAGGCTAAACTGACATGTTACTCCCCATCACTCACACACATACACACACTGCCCATTGTGTGCCTGCGGGGGCATCAGTCTCCTCACTTTTCCCTAACGCTGACACATTTTGTTCCCAAAGCTACATGCTTGCTCATGCTGCTGCCACCAAGAATGTTCTCACTGTTCTTCTTGGCCCACCCAAATCCTCCAAACCCTCCATCCTTTAGAACCCAGCCGGAGTGCCCCTTATCTGTCTAGAAAGCCTCCTGAGACTCCCCTGCCCATCACGGCTCTTCCTGCTCTCTGTCAGCACAGATCCTGGCGCCACAGATGCTGCAAATTAGGAGCTCTCCCTTTCTGTCTACTCCCTCCTTGGAAGTGGGCGATGCTAGAAGCTCCCCAGGCCAGAGGGGTCTCTTCTAACTTTTGTTGCCCTCACAGCATCTAGCAGAGTGCCAGGCACAGAGCAGGCACTGTGGACTGGCTTCCAAGGAAAGCCAGGTCTTCACAGGCTACCAGAAGTGCCCCCAGTCCGCGCTCCAGGAAAGGAAGGTCCAGATGCCACACGATGCCTCAGGCACCCTACCTCAGGCTATCAGGGTGGCCTCAGAGGAGCCAGAGGGGGCCCCGGGGGTGGCAGACAGAGAAGCATGGTGATCCCAACCCCCTACTTCCCCAGGTCCCTGCAGCTCCCACACTGCTAGGGAGGTTCCTCTTTTCTCAGAGTGGGAGGTGGGGGGAGCCACCGCTCAGAAAGGCAGCATAGCCTCTGTGCCCATGCTGGAGTGCACACAGCCCCCAGCCGCCCCTGCCTGCTACCCAGGATGCCTGTGGTCCTTGAACCTGCTGACCGGGGAAGCTTAGAGGAGGACGGAGGTGGACGGGGCAGGAGAGAAGGCAGGCCCAGTGTGGGGCCAGAGGCTTCTTCCCTTCAGAGGGGCGCTGAGATGATGGTGCCACAAAGAATGCCAGGACCTGGAGAATCCTTGCCATCCTAACGTAGGCTCTCACTGGCCTGAACTTGGGCCTGTGGATGCATAGTCATCTCTGTGGGCATTAGGGGAAACTGTCCTCAAAAACACAGTGTGCCCGGGCAGGGTGGGTCCTTTCCTCTCCCATGCTCTTCCTAGTCCCTGGAGGCAACCGAATGTGGTACCGAAGAGCCAGAGACAGTGGGTTAAAACCACAGGGCCACCCCTTCTCAGCTCTGTGACCTCAGTAATGCTATATAACCTTTCTAGGGCTTAGTTTTCTCATCTTGAAATGAGCATGGCAATTATGTGAAGTTCCTGAGCAGGAGAACGTCGATCTCATGAGGGAGGTCATTCTGGGGAGTACATGAGACAATATGGGCAGGTTCCCAGTACATGCTGGCCTGGAGCAGATGCACTGATACAGCTGCTTGTCCCAGCTTCCCTCTCAGCCCCTGAAGGGGCCTCTCCTAGGGCTCCAGAAACAGCCTCTCTTGGAGACCTCTTACCACTTGGTTCTAGGCCAACTTACAGCATTGCTCCTACCCTGAAGAACCTGACAGCCAGATGGGGAGAACAGACAGTCCAAGTTGAGCAATTAGCAAAGACGTAGATCAAGAAGGTTAGTGGAAGCATCAGAGGCTGACTGAAGGCCCCTGAAGGAGGGGCATCTGAGCAGGGCCTGCGGGGCAGTGTGGGCTGGCCCAGGCAGAGCAGAGGAAGGAGGGTGCCAGGGAGTATGGGGGGGGTGGGGTGGGGGGGACTGCTGTACGGGGCAGATAGCCTAGACCTTCAGGGTGTGGATTCTGGCCTTGTTTCTTGGCACCAAACTAGATTTTACAAGCCCTAGTTTCTGCTTTATGGCTCCAGGTTCAGAAAGAATGCTCTCTATTCTTGGGAAAGCCAGGATCCAGCCCTCTGGTCCCAACAATTGGTGCGGGAGCTGTGGGGAGGTTTCCAGGAGAGGTGCCTAGGGGATTCCTATTGTGAGGAGCTCTGCTGGACCCTCAGATCAGAAATGAGTGTGCGGGCAGTGACTTGAAATGACCCCAAGGCCAACCCCACTGCCTGGCCCCTGCGAGAGCACTGGGCAGCCAGACAGTTCTGCTGCCTGGAGGGGAGGCACAGGCCAGGGCCGGGAGACAAGGCTGCAGTTCAGAGGGGACCCGCAAAGATCACCTGGATGAACAGCCAGCCAGCCAGCTAAGGGGCGGTCCCTGCCAGCTCTGGGGACAGCTCCTCTCTGTAGGGGGAGCCAGGTGTGCACCTGCCCGAGTGGCCACAGCCAGTGATCAGCAGAGCGAGGAGCGTCTGAATGCAGGTCCCTCTCACACCAGGGTCTGGCCCTCACCCTCACATCACCCAGCTGCCAGGCTCCCCATTCCCTTTCTGAAAAGTCCCTCACCCCAGAGCCGCCTTCTGGCAGCTTCCACCCACTGGTCCTGCTCTGCCTTGGAATCTCCCAGGCCCAAAGGCTGCAAAGAAAGGGCTGACCCTACCCTGCCCCGGGGCCTGTTCTGTAACTTTCACCATTTGAGCCATGCCTCTAGGAACCGGGAAGGCCTTCTGGGCTCCCAGAGTGCCTGTGAGAATGCGAAACATCCACCAGAGTGGGGGTCCTTGAGGCCCTGGGGAGATGACACAGCCAGCAACTCCAGAGAAGGGGCAGGGGTGGGGACCAGAGGACCAGGAAGAGGCAGTGCACCCACCCCGAATGAGGCCCTTTCCCGCTTTGGGCTGCACAGACTGAGTCCCGGCATCCCAGTGGGTTGGAGCAAAGACTTTCTGCAGATCCAGACTGGACAAGAGTGCCCTACTCTGCCCAGGAAGACCCCGGAGCCCAGGCTGGGGACTGCAGCAGGAGACAGGATGCACGGAGACAGTGGGTGAATGGGCAGAGTGGGGGCCCTTCAGGAACTCCGCTTCCTCCTCCCTTTCTAGCTTCCAAATAGAACCAGGAAAGAAGTGACAGGCTCCATGAGACCAGGTTCAAGCCCCAGCATTACCATTTACCAGGTATGTGGCTCTGGCAAATTATACAAGGCCTGAGTCTTGGTTTCGTCCCCTGGGGTGAGAATAAAATCTGATAGTGTATAAGATATAAGCAGCAAGCCCAGCATCTGGTCTAGATGCTCAGTAACGATTTCTCTTCCTTCTTACCCTCTGAACTTAAGTTTCTTAAACAGGTTCTTTATGTACTTCAGAGGATTGTCAAAAGCTTAAAATTAGACCAGGGATGTCAAAGACCACAGGGGCAGTAAGGGCCACACCCTCATTCAAACATCCTCACCATCCCCCACCCCACCAGGTATCATGGCCACTCAGCTGTGGGCTGTTGCCCTAGCAACCAGCCCCTGCCTATGCTGCCCTCCACCCTCTGGCAACCCCAGAAAGGACGAGGGCCACTCACCCCAGCTGGGAGAAGCTGTACAGGGTCTGCCACAGCCGCAGCATTTGTCTGCAGGTCACGAGGGCTTCCTCCGGGCCTTTTAGTACCTGCTCCAGCTTCACCTTGGTGAACATCAGGCTGCGGGGAGGGAGAGTGGCAGTCAGCATACCTCTGTGAGGGTCCCCTTTCCCCTGGTATTCCTCCCAGGCTGGGACCCCCAAGGGATTCTGCCCTCCATTCTGCCATACCGCTCAAGCACTTGTCCCCTGATCAGTGTGGTTACTAGTCTTGCTTTGTTTGCTCCTCCTGCCCACATCCTCAGCTCCACAGCATCCTCAGTGAACATGTGGTTATCACATGCGCTGCAGGCCCACGATGAGGCCTTGTGTAAGAGACAGACCCAGAAAGCAACTCTGAATCAAGGAATGAGGCTATGCAGGGAATGGGTGAAAAGGTCACTAAAGGGCAGAGTTTGGCCTCCCACCTTGCCAGCACATAATAGGTGTGCAGTTCACATCTCCTAAATTGAACTGCAGGCTTTGTTTCCTGACCCTGGATATGTGAGGATGGTCGTGTTTTACTTTATCAAAGGATTCTTCATTGAATTTCCTAAAATAGCCAGCTCCCCTTATATATTCAATAGGATTAGAGCGACAAAAAGTCCTATTCAGTCACCATTTAGGAACACAGTTACTGTGCAAAGGGAGAGAGCAGATTCAGTCTCTTTCAACCTGAAACAGGAAGTTCTCTGAGGTAAAAATGGTAAGAGGATGCGGTCCTGAGAGGGGCTGGCAGGAGAGGGAAAGGGCTGGTCCCACCGCAAGGCAGGACCACAGGAGAGGCCGAAGGCTCCCTCCCTCTGCCCTGGACACAGCAGAAACCATCAGAACAGCGGCTCACCAGAACCGGAGCAGGGGTCCTGGACACCCTGCTGTGCCAGGTGTCGGCCCTTCAGCTGTTGAGGTCTGGGGCCCTGGGGGAGGTTTTAGGTAGCTGGGGACACTTGGAGGGTTCAAGGCAGCAGTAAATACCAATGGGCATGGAAGTACTGCAAGCTTTTCTCCAGGGGTACTGCCAGCCACGCTGATGCACACCAGCTGCTGGGCAGCCTGCGGAGAACTTGGCTGAGCCACTGGGGCCCAAACAAGGCTGCAACTCTGGTTCTCACTGGGTGCTGAGCAGTGAGGCCCTTCTATTCCTGGCATCACTGTTGGGCAAACCCACATGCCTGTCAGGCCCTGAACCCGGTCGCTGCCCGGTGGTTCTGCCGGCCCATCTGAGGGTGGCACACACGTCCTCATGGGAGCTGAGTCCTGCATAGAGACAGGAGGCATCCTGGGGATCTGAGGCTGCAGCAGGGCAGATCCTGCACAGGAAGGGCAGCCTCCAGCTGGCAGCTTTCCCTCTGACCTTCTCCCTCCCTCAGGGCCCGGCCTCCCCGGCCTCCTAATGAGACCTGGGCCTCCAGCCTCATGACGGGTTTTGATGGCCCCACTCTGCTCCTTTCTTCTCACATCTTGTTTTTCTTAGATTGTGACTTGTTGGTAGAGAATGAAGATCACCGTGGAACTTGCCCTAGTTCTCTTTTCAGAGGAGGGGGTTTGGGTTCTGGGTAACTATTATTTTTCTTCCTCACTTTTCCTCAAAAATCCCATGTGACATTTTTACCCCTGCGCACAGCCCCCCACACCCCTCCCAAGCCTCTCCTTTCCATTTTCATCCATTTTCATCCCCAAGTCTGACTTTAAATCCCACCTTCCCCAGGAGGCCTTCCCAGACCCCCAGGATGCCCTGCACCCTTCTTGGAACTTCTACTAGTGAACGGCCCAGCGGCCTACAAGGTCCCAAGGGCAGAAACTGTGGTCCCCACAGTGTGGCTGCATGGGCCTGGGTAGCAACGTGGTCTCAGCACCCCGGAGGGCAGCTGCTGGGGAAACTGGTCCTGCCATCCCAACCCTCATCCCAATTCTCCTTTCCCAGATTCTTGAAGGGTCCAACACTCCACAAGTATTAGGAGCCTCTGCTTTAAGAATATGAAGTAGAAGACACAATTTCTGCCTTCAAGGTAACAATTAGCAACAAGCTAAAAATGACAAACTGCCCAGAAAATCAAGTGCATATTTTGGATCAGACTTAGTGCAAGAAAAGAACAGATAAAGGGTCCTGCTGGGGCTGGAGTTTGATGAAAAGGAGGGTGGGGTGGGATATGGTTGGGAGTTGGGGGAGAGAGGAGAAGTGTGGGGTGGGGGAACCAGTGCTGGAGCCGCAGGTGTTGGTGAGGTGTGAAAGGCCCTCCCTGGGGGGCAGGGAACACCCAGGCTCAGTCCATTCCAAGGGTGCCCCTCCCATCAGGCAGCCAGAGCAGCAGACCCCCCTGGGCAAGAGGGGCAGGGTGACTCCGGGCTGGGCCAGTTCCCGGGCCAGTTCCCAGGGCAGACCAGCCCTGCAGCATTCCCCAGGTACCCACTCTCCCCAGACACACTGTGCCTGCTCTTCAGCACACCTCTGCGCCTGGCCCCTGCCCCATCCTGCTCCCTGCAACTCTGAGAGCCAGGATGGGTCCATAGCAGACCTGACCACACCACGTGCCTGGAAGAGAAGTGGCCGAAAGCTGAGCTGGTGGACATTGACTTCTCCCAACTCAGGCTGTTATCCTTGCGGCTGCTGACATTCCATTAGCATGAGTGACTCAGAGCGGAATTTCTCACCCTACCACATCCTTTCTGGGCTGGGGAAAGCGGTCCAACAGCCCCCCTCTGGTAGGATCCTTCACTCCCAGAGGCTGGGAGGCTCCAGATGAGCTCCTGAAGAGATTTCCTTGGTCTCGCAGTTCAGCACTGCGAGAGGGATCTTCCTCAACAAAGAACCCTGCCCTGACTATCCGTGACGTCAATCCAAATGCTTCTGTGTGGCTGCCTCTCCCCATGACCTTGAGCACCTGTGCGCTGCTCACATGGGTATTAGCAGCCCCCTGAACTGCAGGATGAGCTCCTGGACTCATCTATGCTCTCTGTTATGTTGTCGCTCCTCCTGGGACTTGCACTTCCCCCTCTGACATCCAGCCCACTAGGAACCAGATGTCACCCTCTGACTTTCTGTGTGTCCCCACGGGGGCTGTACACACACCCCTTCTAGGACAGCCTTCACTGTGTGGGGTGGTGGTCGTCTGCATACCTGCTGGCGCACCTCTAATTCTTGGCTGCACTCTCTCCCCTCTCGCAACAGGGAGCAGCACCCTACTCGCTCTTCCGCTCCTCCAGGACAACGTGGCCCCAGCATGTGGAGCACTGGGCTCCCTCTCCATCCTGTCTGCTGGGAGTGACACAAGGCTCCCTCTCTATCCTGTCTGCCAGGATGGGTGGCCCAGCTCTTTAAACAGTATGAGAGGCTGGCAGAGGCCTGGTGTGCCACTGTGGCTGGTGGGCAACACTTTTGGGCCCACATGATGGGCTGCAGCCTCATCAGAACGCTGTGCCTCCTGGGTGGGACCGTGGGGAGGCTGCTGGCAGTGGGGCTGGGGGATAGATGGGACAAGCCCAGGCTCCCCACCCGCTTTGCCAGCCAGCCCCTGGCACACCTGTTTTCTACACTGAATGAACCTAAAACGTCATTTGAAGAAAGGATTCTGAGACTTTAAAAAAGCCCACTATTTTAATCTAGTGGCTCCAGCCCTCCTCTAAGAAGCTTCAGCACGACCACCCTTGCGCTTCTCTGAATGTTCAGGACAGTCTTTAGTCAGCACTTAATTACATTCTTTCTATCCAGCCATCCATCTATCCATCTATCTTTTTTGCCACATAGGCTTAATGAGTTTAATAAAGATAAACTCTAATCAAGCATTTTTAAATTCAGATGTTCTAGAAACAGTCTGCGGCCAGCCCTGCCTACAGACAGTAAAATCCCCATTTATCTTGTCCTGTGTCCTGCCATGCGTCCCCACCGGGATGGCAAGCGCCTGCAAGACAGGCTCTGCCTCCCTCCACGTCAGTGTCCTCCTCGCCTCTCCAGGGCCTGGTACAGAGCTGAGCACAGTGTCTGCTCAGTACTGTGAAAATGTGTGTTGTCACAACCATCGGCTACGTTCTGGGTCTCAAAATCCATGTTAAATCAGAGCCGATTTTGGACACCACCACTTCCCACTGCTGGGTCCTCGCTAGGAGGCAGGAGAGCAATCTGTTTACTTGATACCGCATAACTGCAGAGTGGGCTGGACTCCCGCAGCCAACAAGCAAAGTGCTGGCCAATTCCATTTTAAACTGTCCAGAAGCAAAGTTTCACAGGGTCTGGGATGGAGCAAGGAGTTCTGCACAGGACATGAGTGCATCTGACTCCTTGTGACTTGGGGTCTTCAGCCCAAAGGACGGTCGCCCAGGCAGAGCCAAAAGTACAACTGAGGAGTGTCTTTGAGACTAGAAGGCCTGGAATACCCAAACCCAGCAGCTCTCTAACACCCTGACAAAAGCCACTCTGGGAGAGGAATGGCCACATTGCTGTCCTCAGACCCTGCAATGGGATGTCACTCAGAGTGAACAGACACTGGAACAAGACTGAGAAACGAGCTAAAGTCCCAGCACTGTTGCCATCCGGTGGGGCATGTCGCAGGTTCCAGACCTGTGAAATAGCAGTGAAGTCTCCCACCCTGTCTGCCCAGGGACTCCCGGAGGACGAACTGCGATGAGCTATAAGCAGCAGCTGAGAAACACATGCTGCATTTAGTCCTGGAGCACAGGCCCGCCTGAGGCTCAGGGAAGGGACTCCTGCTTTGAAAGAGCAGGCCTGGCAGACCCCAAGAAGCAGTTTCCAAACCAGGTGCCTCTGAAGGCTCTCAGAAAGGCCCAGAGCTTCATGGCCTGTTTGGCAAGGCAGTCGGTCCCTCTTGTGGCTTCTGGGACCTAAGACAGGCATGAGAAAGGAAGACAATCAGAGGGGATGGACAGAGCCACAGCTGACTGGGTCCGGGCAAAGCAACCTTGGCTGTAAGCCCCTCTTGCAAGTGCTTTCCTGATTTTTAAAGCCATGGAAGCCCACGTGGAATAACACTGAGGTCTTTTACAGCCGAACACCCTTGCCACACTATCGCATCTGAGGGCTCTCTCTGGGGAAGGGGAAGGAGCCAGGGTCACGGTCAACGTGCCACG